GAAACGTCAGCCTTCCGGCTCCTGTGATGCTGCTTGGCCTGCTGTGTTCATCCAGCTCTACACCTTGTTATCTCAGATTCTCCAGCATCTGCAGTTCCTACTATCTCCTCTACTCAGGGTATGTGATAGTCTGAAACGAGTGAAATTCCATCCTCTGCTCCAGTTTCGCTGAATCGGGCCTGAAATGTACCTTCATTTATGTTTCTTTGTTTCCAGTGAAGGATCTTCAGGAGAAGCTTACATCAGCAGAGGGATCAGTGATGGAGGAAGAGATGAGACATCCTGTCCCTCCACCTCCACCTCCACCCCCTCCTCCGCCACCGCCTCCTCCACGTGAACCTCCAGCTAAGTGAGCACCAGCAACCTACAGGCCTTCCAGACCCAGATCACAAACCTCTCGTCCTCTTCTTCCCACTCTCCCTCCTCAGTCTCCCTCAACTCACCATCCTCTCAACTCACCATCCCCCTCAGCTCAACCCCCTCCTATACATTCATTCCCCTTCTCAACACTCACCCTCTTATCTCCCACTGCCCTCTCATTTCAACCGCACCCAGTGTCTGTCCCTCTCCTCGTTCTCCCACTGCCTCACTCTCCTGCTCCCTCCCTGTCCGCTTTCCTCACTCTGGCCCTCCTGTCTCCCTCCCCTCATTCTCACCTCCTTCATTCCTTCCTTTCTTTCTCACTCCCACCTCAATCTCCCCTCCCCTCTCACCCCCCCCTCCATTCTCCTCCCTCATGCCCCCTCACTTGCCCCCCCATCCCTCACTTCCCTCTCCCTCCCATGCCCCTCCCCGCCATTTCTATGGCTGTGGGACACGTACTTTGACCCTCCTGTCACTGATGTCGCCTGTTCTCGGCCTGTTCTCCTGCTCCAGCCTCCTTTCTCAGGAGAGGCCTCTGTTGGCCAAGTTTCTGGTGAAGTGTATGTTTTCCTGATGAGACTATGTTCCCCCCCCCACAGCCCCTTGGCCGAGTTACTGAAGAGAAGGCAAAAGAATCAAACAGGGGATGGGCCGAACACCCAAGGTGAGCGAATCCAGTGTCACAGAGGCAGCTAATTCCCCGGAGTAGTGGGGCATGCTTATTGGGGTTCCACAGAGCTCCCAACGTGACTGGATGGGCATTTTATCAGCTGGATAATGTATGTAATGGATCAGGGGCCTTACTGGTCTCGAGGGGTTGGGGGTGGTCTCTGATTCCTGGGCACAATGGTCCATGGGGCCTGTGTTTGGATTTTAGGATCTTGAGTGTCACAGGGCCAAACCCTGGGAAATATGGAGACATCTAACCAAGAACCACACTCTTACCAGCCATTCCAGGCTGTATCTGTGACAGAAAGATATAAAGAACAACAATCTGCATTTATGTAGCCACCCTGAATGGACAGTTCCCACCCTGTCATCTTGCTATCACAGTTAACAGAATTGTCATGCACAGACAAAGAGAAATAAAAAAAAAACTGAGACCCACACCTAGCTCCTCAGTAAATAGTCCAATACTTAACAGGGATCACAGATCAATGCTGTAAGGCCCTCTGACGTTGTCATCTATACCCCAGTACGATTCCTGTCTCCCCAGTCCAAACATCTCCATCTGCAACTTGACTCAACAATCAGCAAGAAGTATCTTTGATCAACTTGGCTCTCCTGGCGCCCAGGACTGCCCTCCCCCACAAGTACCCACTATCAGTTGGTTATTGCTCCATGTAGACAATGTTGAGCGGAAGCCACCCTGTCACAGTGGACCCCCTGCCCGTCTGCCTGGCTGTGATCTCCTGAGGCAACCATGGGCTCGTTTAAACCCCTTCTGGATTGGTCAAGGCTACCTGATATCAGTGAGGTCACCAAGTCCATCCAAGCTGTAGCTGGGGGTCATTTGAAACACAGACCCACATTGTTCAGGAACGTCCCACACAGGAACATTGAAGCTGGGCATTAAGAGCCCCATTTAACCACTGCCTGGGCTATCGCTTGGCTAACTGTGACGATGCACATACTCAAGAAAAAAAATGTTAAGTCTTCCATTATCGAGGGCTTCATGACACAAAATATGACATCAAATCTCATCAGGAGATCCTAGGGACAGGTGACCCAAAGCCTGGTCCGTGAGATTTTCTGGGACCGTTGTAAAGAAGGAAGGTGAGGTGGTGAGTTTGGCCTGGTGCAGTGAATTCCTGTCAACGCTCACACTCCAAGCCACGTTCCTGTACATGGGGTCAGCTCCAATGCAGAAGGTCCCCGTCCAGAAGCTACAGGATCCTAGCCCTTGCTGACACCCTGGTCGAATAGTGAAGGTGTGCTGCACCATTAGAGATATTACTTCTGGGTAAGTCAGTAAACTGAGTCTCCATACACTCTGTGAGGCAAGCATTAAAGGCTTCATGACATTATTCCAAGTAAGAGCAGGGACATTATCCTTGGCTAACGCTTATCCTCCAACAACATCGCTAAAAGAAAAGTAGGTGATCTGGCCATTCATACATTGCCATTTGTGGGATCTTGCTGTGCACAATTTAGCTGCCATGTTACCTGCATCACAATGATGACCCCTGTTCAAAAACCCTCAGAAGCTGAAAAGTTTCAGACAACCTGAGGTCTTGATAAGTGCACTTAAATTCAAGGAAAATCTTGAGTTAATATAATGCAAGCCAACTTCAACTATTAATTCACCAACTCTCCCTCTTTTCTCTTCGGTATTGCTGACAAAAGGCACATTTTGTCATAGTTTATCATCAGGACAATTTGTAAGAATACCAATTTGAGGTGGAAACCAACATTTACACCATGAAAGGAGTGTGCTGATTGGCAGAGATGCTGCCATTGAGAGTGCACCAGTTACCAATGATTGACAGTTAACATCCACGCATGGTTTAAAATTTCAATCAGGTTGACTCTGATTGGTCAAAACATTGCCCTGATCTCTTATCACTCTTTCCAGACTCAGTCAACCTCAATGATCTCAAGGTGAAAGCTGTGAATGAGATGATGGAGAGGATCAAAACTGGTGTCATCCTGAAACCCACCAAAAAGAAGATAGAGGTACAATGATGCAAGGGTCAAATCAGCAAATCTTACAGCCAGAAACAAAAACAGAAGTTGCTGGAAAAGCTCAGCAGGTCTGGCAGCATCTGTGAAGAAAAAATTCAGAGTTAACGTTTCGGGTCAAGTGTCCCTTCCTCAGAACCAAAGGTCAATTGACCCGAAACGTTAACTCTGATTTTCTCTTATCTGTCTTTGTTCCTGATTTGCAGCATCTGCAGTTCTTTTGGTTTTTAATCTTGCAGCCATATTTATTCAGGCCATTGCGTTTCTTTGAAATTGGTCTGACATGCCAACCCTCTCCATGACCCCACACACCGAGCCTCTTGCAGAACAGAGAACAAATAACAAAGAACAGGCCCTTGAGCCCACCAAGACTGCACTAACACATGATGCATTCCTCAACCTTTTGCCTCTACGCGGTCCCTATCCCTCTATTCATTCCCTATTCATGTATCTGTCAAGATGCCTCTCAAATGTTGCTATTGTATCTGTTTCTACCAACTCCAGGCACTTACCACCCTCTGTGTAAAAATCCTGCCTCTCACATCTCCCTTAAACTTACCCCCTTTTACTTTAAACCTATATTCCCTAGTAATTGTCATTTCCACCGTGGGAAAAAGACTCTGACTAACCACTCTATCTGTGCCTCTCATAATTTTGTAAACATCTATCAGATCGTCCCTCAGCCTTCAATGTTCAGTGAAGACAAATCAGGTTTGTCCAATCTCTCCTTATAGCTAATACCCCGCCAAACCAGGCAACATCCTGGTAAATGAGTTACATTAGCTAGTTTCCACTCTAGTAGAACCCTGCCTGAATCTGGGGGAGTTTGGAGAAATGAAACCAACACATCAACAAATTCACCACACACTCCTTTTCACAGCCTGGGATAAAGTCCATCAGGACTCCAGCTCTTGTTAGCACACAGCTCCAGCAACTTACTCAGCACCACTTCCCCAGTGACTGTGATTTTGTTTAGTCCCTCCCTGGTTTGCTTATTGCTGTTCTGGGAATTTACCTGTATCCTCAATATAGAAAATTCTGATTAAAATTCCCCTCCAAGCCATTCACCATCCTGACGTGGAAATATATCACCGTTCTTTCACTGTCACTGGGTCAAAATCCTGGAATTCCCTCCCTAATGGCATTGTGGGTCAACCTACAGCACATGGTTCAAGAAGGCAGCTCACCACCACCTTCTGAAGGGCAACCAGGGACAGACTGGTCTAGCCAACAACACCAAATCCCATGAGAGTATTATAAGAAAAAATACCCAAGGTCTCTAGATGACTAGTTTAGTGATCTTACCACTAACCTCTGAACTATCTCCAAAACCTTGACATTCTTCCTAAAGTGCAGTCCCCAAAATTGTCCACCGTACACCAGCTGAGGTGATATGTAAAGGTTTAACATGGCTTTCCTGTTGCTGTAGCCCATGCCTTTATTTCTAAGCCAAGTATCCCATACACTTTCTTAATTACTTTACCAACCTGTCTTTTATTCATTCATGGGATGAGGGCATCACTGGCTCAGAAGCATTTATTGCCCACCCCTAATTGTCCAGAGGGCAGTCAACCCTATTGCTGTGGGTCTGGAGTCATATGTAGGCCAGACCAGGTAAGGATGGCAGTTTCCTTCCCTAAAGGACATTAGTGAACCAGATGGGTTTTTCCAACAATCAACATTGGATTCACGGTCATCATTAGCTTCTTAATTCCAGATATTTATTGGATTCAAATTCCACTATCTGCCATGGTGGGATTCGAACACAGGTCCCTGGAACATTATCTGGATCTTTGGATTAACGGTCCAGCGATAATACCATGAGGCCATCGCCTCCCCCATATTACCAGCAGAGATTTCTGAATCCCTTTATCATTGAACCCTCTTATTTTTCCCCTTATGTAGCTATTTTAAACCTTATATTATGATCACTATTGCCTAGATACTTCCCCAGTGGAACATCCTGCACTTGTCCTACTGCTACTGCTCCAGCGTTGTTTCTCCCTTCATTGAGATAGGAACATTAAGGAAGCTCAACTGTACCTGTTTTAAGAATCTCTCACCTTCCTTGCCCTTACTCTGATTTTATTTTGAGTATTAGGGTAATTGATTACTCTATCAATACAGTTTTAGTATTTTTATGCCTCTCTGACATTTGCTTACAGACTTGAATCTCAATCTCCTCACTATTTGGGTCTATCTCAGCAGACTCAGTAATGTATCAGCTCCTTTAATGTTCTTCAGCTCTCATCAAATACATTCCGTTTTTTGACCATACACTGTATCCACACACTCTATAACTGAATTGTCCACCAAAGCCTGCAATCTTTGCCATCTAGAAGGATAAGAGCAGCAAAATGTGGGAACACCAAAGAACAAAGAAAATTACAGCACAGGAACGGGGCCTTCGGCCCTCCAAGCCTGCGCTGATCCAGATCCTCTATCTAAACCTGTCGCCTATTTTCCAAGGATCTGTATCCCTCTGCTCCCTGCCCATTCATGTATCTGTCTGGATACATCTTAAATGACGCTATCGTGCCCGCCTCTACCACCTCCACTGGCAATGCGTTCCAGGCACCCACAACCCTCTGCGTAAAGAACTTTCCACACATATCTCCCTTAAACTTTTCCCCTCTCACCTTGAAATCGTGACCCCTAGTAATTGAGTCCCCCACTCTGGGAAAAAGCTTCTTGCTATCCACCCTGTCCATACCTCTCATGATTTTGTAGACCTCAATCAGGTCCCCCCTCAACCTCCGTCTTTCTAATGTAAATAATCCTAATCTACTCAACCTCTCTTCATAGCTAGCGTCCTCCATACCAGGCAACATCCTGGTGAACCTCCTCTGCACCCTCTCCAAAGCATCCACATCCTTTTGGGAATGTGGATACCAGAACTGTACACAGTATTCCAAATGTGGTCAAACCAAAGTCCTATACAACTGTAACATGACCTGCCAACTCTTGTACTCAATACCCCGTCCGATGAATGAAAACATGCCATATGCCTTCTTGACCACTCTATCAACCTGTGTTGCCACCTTCAGGGTACAATGGACCTGAACACCCAGATCTCTCTGTGCATCAATTTTCCCCAGGGCTTTTCCATTTACCATATAGTTCGCTCTTGAATTGGATCTTCCAAAATGCATCACCTCTCATTTGCCTGGATTGAACTCCATCTGCCATTTCTCCGCCCAATTCTCCAATCTATCTATATTCTGCTGCATTCTCCGACAATCCCCTTCACTATCTGCTACTCCACCAATCTTAGTGTCATCTGCAAACTTGTTAATCAGACCATCTATACCTTCCTCCAGATCATTTATGTATATCACAAACAACAGTGGTTCCAACATGGATCCCTGTGGAACACCACTGGTCACAGTTCTCCATTTTGAGAAACTCCCTTCCAATACAACTCTCTGTCTCCTGTTGCCCAGCTAGTTCTCTATCCATCTAGCTGGTACACCCTGGACCCCATGCGACTTCACTTTCTCCATCAGCCTACCATGGGGAACCTTATCAAACGTCTTACTGAAGTCCATGTATATGACATCTACAGCCCTTCCCTCATCTATCAACTTTGTCATGTCCTCAACGAATTCTATCAAGTTGGTAAGACATGACCTTCCCTGCACAAAACCATGCTACCAATCACTAATAAGCCCATTTTCTTCCAAATGTAAATAGGTCCTATCCCTCAGTATCTTCTCCAGCAGCTTCCCCACCACTGACGTCAGGCTCACCGGTCTATAATTACCTGGATTATCCTTGCTACCCTTCTTAAACAAGGGGACAACATTCACAATTCTCCAGTCCTCTGGGACGTCACCCGTGCTCAAGGATGCTGCAAAGATATCTGTTAAGGCCCCAACTATTTCCTCTCTCGCTTCCCTCAGTAACCTGCGATAGATCCCATCCGGACCTGGGGACTTGTCCACCCTAATGCCTTTTAGAATACCCAACACTTCCCCCCTCCTTATGCTGACTTGACCTAGAGTAATCAAACATCTATCCTTAACCTCAACATCTGTCATGTCCCTCTCCTCAGTGAATACCGATGCAAAGTACTCATTAAGAATCTCACTCATTTTCTCTGATTCCTCGCATAACTTCCCTCCTTTGTCCTTGAGTGGGCCAACCCTTTCTCTAGTTAACAAGGTGTAGAGCTCGATGAACACAGCAGGCCAAGCAGCATGATAGGAGCAGGAAGGCTGACATTTCGGGCCTAGACCCTTCAAGGCTTTGGGATTTTCCTTAATCCTGTTTGCTAAAGATATTTCATGACCCCTTCTAGCCCTCTTGATTCCTCGTTTCAGATTGGTCCTACTTTCCCAATATTCTTCCAAAATTTCGTCTGTTTTCAGTCACCTAGACCTTATGTATGCTTCCTTTTTCCTCTTTGCTAGTCTCACAATTTCACCTGTCATCCATGGTTCCCTAATCTTGCCCTCTCTATCCCTCATTTTCACAGGGACATGTCTGTCCTGCACTCTAATCAAACTCTCTTTAAAAGCCTCCCACATATCAAATGTGGATTTACCCTCAAACAGATGCTCCCAATCCACATTCCCCAGCTCCTGCTGAATTTTCCCCCAATTCAGCACTCTTTCTTCATGACCACTCTCATCTTTGCCCATCAGTATTCTAAAACTTACAGAATTGTGATCACTATTCCCAAAGTAATCCCCTACTGAAACTTCAACCACCTGGCCGGGCTCATTCCCCAACACCAGGTCCAGTATGGCCCCTTCCCAAGTTGGACTATTTACATACTGCTCTAGAAAACCCTCCTGGATGCTCCTTACAAATTCTGCTCTATCTAAACCCCTAACACTAAGTGAATCCCAGTCAATGTTGGGAAAACTAAAATCTCCCATCACCACCACCCTGTTGCTCCTACATCTTTCTATAATCTGTCTACATATTTGTACCTCTATCTCACACTCGCTGTTGGGAGGCCTGTAGTACAGCCCCAACATTGTTAACGCACCCTTCCT